ATCTTTATGTAATAAAAATTTAAGTATTTTCTTGACATCCTATATTGTGAGGGACATTTCTTAATTAATAAAGATATCTTAATTCAAATAAACTTTATACAAATTAACATTATACATACCATGACTAAGAAGATTAATGAAACAGATGAACAGCGAGAAGCACGTCTTAAACGTGAAAGAGAACAAAAACGTCAAAAAAGATCGAAAGAACTCTTCGAGCAACGTAAGACATGACTTGTAAGAATGCGTGAACGAAAAAAAGAAAGAATATCAAACGAGAATAGTGAAGAACATGAAATGCGCCTTACCCACGAGAGAGAACATAGGCGTGAATCGCGTGTTCAAGTACTAACTCAAAGATGTATGAATATACAACATAAGGAGGTAGCAACGCGAAATCAAAAAGCAACGCAAAAAAATAATAATAATAACTCACCCACATACGTAGCACCACTCGCACCACTCTCAGCCACTACTATTAGTGAGGAAGAACATCATATCTTATAGGATTTCCGCGAAAAAATGGATAGCATTCAGTATAATTCTTGTCCAGTGTGTAATGAACGAATTCGATTAATGAAGATTAAAAATGGAATGTGTCATCGCTGTTGCCTAGATAAATCGTTAACAAAGAAATTTTCAATGGCAAATAATATGGATCCGGGAGACGTGCCTGAAGAACTTAAAGGGTTTTCAGAAATAGAAGAAATGCTAATCGCTCAAGTATTCATAGTAATGTCGGTATACCGACTTCGAGGAGGTCAAAATGGATATAGAGGAAACGTTATAAATTTTCCTCAGGACATACATAAATTCACGAAACAACTACCACGACACCCATCGTCTTTGAATATTCTCGTAGTATGAAGATCGACAAATGAATCAACCGCACATAAAGATTTCCACGTACGTCGAGAAAAAGTTGCTGCTGCACTGTTATGGTTAAAAGTAAACAATCATTACTATGAAGACATCATTATCGACGATGAAGTTCTCTGATCCTTACCCGAAGATGGATCTATTGTTAATAAACTTCCACAGATTCAAAATGATCAATCAAGAGAAGAGATCTTAGGTAATGACGAAGAAGTAATATCACGTATTTTCGTGCCATCTATGCCTTCGGCAAATCGCGAAGAAGTAGCTATTAATGATACGCTTGATCACATACAAAGCAATAATCCTCCTTTAATGTGGCCGGAGATTGAAGGCACTCCTATAAATGAATTTCAAGCGCCCGGTTATATGGCGCGAGCATTTCCAACACTCTACCCATATGGTCGCAGCGATCTTCGTTCCGGACGTGAGAGAGAAGTTAAGCCAGCCGAATATTTTAGGCACTTAATTTGATATAAAGATGGAAGATTTGCTCGACATTCGCGTTGGATATACTTCTCGCTAAACTCGTTAATGAGGTGGAGAGCATTGCAAGAAGAAAAAGTTTACGTAAAACAGAATTTGAATAGTGATCAGATTGGAGTTGCGGAAATCCAGGAGATGATTACCAACAGTGATAAAAATCTAGCAAATAGGATTATGAGATACGGTGAAGGTTTGCGCGGATCAAGACAATTTTGGATGGCACGGCGTTATGAATTATCGGACATGATAAGACAAATAGGTCATCAAGGCTTAATATTCTTTACCTTCAGTGCGGCGGATTTTCATTGGCCAGAACTCCATCATTAATGCCAAATGACGGGAAAGAATCTGATTCGAACCAAAAACACATAGGAACATTATCGACAATCCGCATATAGCCGCGTGGTTTTTTAATAAACGATTTGAAACTTTCCTTCATGATGTACTTATACCACGATGGAACCTGGTCGATTGGTGGTACAGATATGAGTGGCAACATCGTGGAAGCGTACACGTGCATAGCATTGAAAAGATACGGGATGCACCTATAATCGATTGGATGCAGATGAAAGAAAACAAAAATGAGATGCAAAATGTAATAAAATTCATTGATTCGATAGTTACCACAATTAACCCAGGAATTGACGCGGCAATACTGGAACAACACCCTTGCCAAAAACATAGTAATGAAATAGTTGATAATTCACAAGATTATATAGAATTAATCAACAAGTTACAGCGTCATATCCGTTGTAGCCCTTCATACTGTATTCATGTTGATAAAAAAACAGGTCATCAAAAATATAGATTCGGGTATCCAAAGGATCATAATAAACGTACATTCATACACGAAGATAATAATAGGCAGCCAGAATTAGTAACAGCAAGAAATAACCTATACATCAACCCACACAATCGACTCCAATTGCAAGGTTGGCGTGCTAATGTCGATCTTAAGCCAATCCTTAGCATCCACGCAGCCTTGCAGTATATATCTAAATATGCGAGTAAAGCGGAACCACGGTCAATGGCATTTTCTGATATATTTAGTCACATTCTTAGTAACAGCGATCCCAATGATTCTCCACTTACTGCGGTCCAGAAACTTCTGCTCAACAGCGTTGCGGAACGTGACATATCTGCTCAAGAAACCTGCCATCTTCTTCTTAGTATCCCTCTCTATCACTCAAGTCGCCAGTTTGTTTCTTTAAATCTTAATGAAGAAGCCGCAAGATGAATTTGTGGTACAGGAAGAAGAGAAGATGGTGAAGATTTTACCACAATTGAAGGTGCAGGACGTATGACACAGTCATCTCTCCAAAAATACCGGAACCAATCCGAAGAGCTTGAAGAAATTTCTTTATTTAAGCTATATCTAATATATAAATATATCAGTGGAAATTGAAGAAAGTGCAATAACGAAAATATTGTGAGAATATGGCCACGACCATCTCCTTTACGTAACGGACATCAATGGGAGGAATTTTGTCGAATAAAGATTCTTCTTCACGTTCGGCATTGAAGTCTGCAAGAGCTCAATAAAAGTAATATCCCTTGGTCAACACTTTATAATTATCATCTTGATACGATTGACGCCGATCCAAATGATATGCTTGGAAACCCTATAGATAATAAAGAAGAATTTCCTGATGAAAGCCAAGATGAACAGACTGAAGATGACGAAGAAGAAGAATATTGGTACGATTGGATGTGCCTTGCAGAGATGGGTCCAAATATAAGAATAGTTACTTTATCGGATCTAGGAGCCCGCGACATGGATCGAGATCATGACTGGGTTAATGACTCTCAACAGCATTATTCAGATGCTGATATAGTAGATGCTTGTGATTTCGTGCATAATGTTTCGAGAAATGGAAATAATATTATAAAAAGAGAACACGATTTAAATAATCATCAGAATCTAAACGAAAATCAAAAAAGGATTTTTAATAGAGTAGAATCACACTATAACAATATCATCGGAGGAAATCAAGTCGAAGCATTAAAGATTATGGTAATAGGAACCGCAGGAACAGGTAAATCTTACCTTATTGAAGCGATTCATCACCGACTTTGTACAATGGCAGGACATGAATCAGAATCGCCAGTACTTGTGATGGTGCCTACGGGAGTCACAGCATTCAATATAAATGGTGCAACTATTCATTCAACGCTTTCCCTACCAATATTTAATACCAAAAATTTGGACATAGATGGAAGCCGACTGAAGCAATTACAAGAACGATTGCAAAATATAATTTACCTTATCATAGATAAAAAGAGTATGGTAGGGTGTCGAACGCTCACGTTAATTAACATTCAATTAAGATAAGCATTCCCCGAACATAAAAATGAATCTTTTGGCAGTCGATCCATAATAATGTTTGGAGATTTTGGGCAGCTTCCACCTGTACTCGACTTTCCTATGTATGCTAATGAGACATCACATGATGAAAATTCAAACAACAGCATCGCAGCATACAAACACTTCAGGAAAGTATATAAGCTTGATATCATTCAAAGGCAGTCTGGTGATTCTGAAGAACAATGGAGCTTCAGAGAGTTACTCTTGAGATTGCGAGAAGGAGAGTGCACACTAAATGATTGGGAAAAATTTAGTACACGCTTTGAATAAAACCTCAATAGAATTAAGCGGGATCGATTTTCAGATACTATTTTCTTACTAACAAAGTGGCTGATGTAGATAAAGTTAATGTGAATATGCTCAGCTCATTAAACAGACCAGTAGCCAAAATCCTCACTGTACATACCGGAGATAGTAAAGCCAAAAAGGCCAGTTCCGATGTGGCGATGGGACTCGAAGCTGAATTGTTACTGGTGAAGGGTTCTTGCGTGATGTTAACAGCCAACTTATGGACTAGTGCTGGGTTAGTCAACAGTTCAATGGGGACAATACAGGATATTCTATTCGAAGAACAGGGCCCATCTTTACTTCCTATAGCAGTTTTTATTACATTTGACCGTTACGAAGGGCCTAGTATCACGACAATCGAAGGAATTAAAGTCGTTCTAATCGTACCTATTAAGCGCATGTGGGAAAATTCTGGAACGGTGTATTCTCGACTTCAGATACCAATATGCCTCGCGTGGTCAATCACAATCCATAAAAGTCAAGATCTCACCTTGCCAAAGATTAGAATAGATATCGGAGATAGAGAATATGCAGCAGGTCTTTCATTCGTTGCAATTTCTCGAGCTCGTTCACTTAATGATGTTTGTTTCAACTATTTCATTTTCGAAAGGCTCCAACATATAAAGAATTGTAAAAGATTACAAGAGAGGAAGATTGAAGAAAAACGTCTGCATTCTATGATACCTTAAAAAAATGTGTCGTTACACACTGATCACGCAATTTGATTGGTTAAACTCATATGATCTTATTCGAAGTCACATGACGGGCGGATATACCGACACGTTGTGTAACCTGAGTCGGTCTGTATAAAGTCCTTCACTTTGCTCCGGACTAATAATCTTTATTATATCAAAGATTATCGGAAATATAATTACCGGTCTTTTAGCTTAAAACATGATTAAATTATCGAAAAAACATTGTGAAATCCGAAAGTTTTAAGCAATAAATTTTTAAAAAGTCTAAATATGTATTATATAATATGTATTTAAACAATATATATAAATGCTATTTATAATTATACGTCATTCTCTAAATTTTAATAAATTTATATTAAAAATTAAAGTTTTTTTATTAATACAAACTAACATTTAAATTTTAATGGTAATTACGCAATTTTTATGAACAAAATGGCACTTAAATTTTTTAAAATAATATAATAATATAATAATAATTTTAAGTATAAAATAGTTTAATTATATTATTTAAAACCTAAAGTAATTTTTTTATTATAAAACTTATTAAAAATATATTTAGTAATTGTTTAAATAAAATAAAATTAATTATATAAATGCTAATATTTTACAAAATTTAAAAAATAATTTTAAAATTTTACTAGTATTAAACTTTTTTATAGTATTAAACATTACTATTATATATAATGTTTATTGATTTTATTGGTTGATATAAAAATATTAACAAAATTATAAAATCAATCAACAAATTATATGATCTGCATATATTCTTAAAATTTATGTTAATAGATTTAAGAATTATAAATTAAATATTATGAATAAAACAAATAAAATTTTGATATGTATTTATTTCAAATAACATAAAAATTATTTATTTGTATTAAAACAATTTTTTATTTATTAAAATCATAACTTATTATATAAAAAAATTTTGGATTTTTTTTAAATTTAACTTGCATATATTTATTGAAATATATAATATATAATTATAAAATATAAATAATAATGATAATAATAATATATATATATATATAAAGAATAAATAAATATAAAGTATAATAATATAAAATATAAAATATGATATTTTATATTAGATTTTAAATTGTAATAATTTTTGTTGAATAATTTGAAGAGATTTCATATGAATATCATCTACTTCAAATTTTGATTCCTGATTTATAAATTAAATAAGATTTTTTGTACTTTCTATTGCTAAATCAAGAGTTATTTCTTTTTGTTCATTTTGTAAATTCAATTTTTTTTTAACTAAATTAATAATAGATTGATTTGTTAAATTATTTTTAAAAGAATTATCAATATTAATATACTCATCTGCATTAATTATATCCTCTTGATTATATAGTAATTGGTTAATTAAATCTTGAATTTCATCTTCATCAATAGATTCAAATGGAATAATTTCTCCAGTAATAGTGGAATCAGAAAAAGGAGTTTGAGGATTACTTATTTTCAAAGATGATAATTGTAAAGATAATAGAATTTCTGTTTTTTTCCAACAATTTAATATAGTATTATTGGTAACTTTTTTCCAAGCTATAACTACCCAATCTATTGCATGTTTAATATTAATACTTTCAGATTTTTGACCTAATTGTATTAAATTAAACTGATCTACTTTAAATTGAATAAGCAATTTTCTATAATGAACCTATAATAACATAAATTTTAATTTAATATTAAAATATAATAAATTATAAATTATAATATTACTTACTTTGAAAGAACAAATAATACCAGCATCTAATGGTTGTAGGTGAGATGTAGTATTAACTGGTAATGGTTTTAAAGTAATATGGGATAGATCTTTAGATGTTAAGCTTGATTCACTGCAATGGAGTGAGGCTTGATCATATAAAAGAATAATATATCTATTTTCCCTTTCTATTTCATTATTTAAATCTTGTAAAAATTAATTCCAAATATTTGTTGTCATCTATGCAGTTTTGTTCCAATGATAATCTACTGCCATATCTTCTTTACTGATTTTGATCAATGCACGAGGTTTTTTATATTGATGAATTATTAATGGTTGCTTTTTAAATGTACCTAATAAATATTAATTTATAAATTAATACTAATATAAAATTAATAAATATAATAAAAATCTTATTACCTATAACATTGGTACATAAAAGAATTGTTATTCTTTGTTTATTTTTTTTTTATCCATAATAGTCTCTCTAGCTAAAGATTTAGAAGGCTCCATTTTCCAGTACAGTGCTGTTTCATCACAATTAAAAATATTTTCCAGTGGCCAATCTTTTAATATATTTTGATATTCTATTCTTAATTTTGGAAGATCTTTAAGTGGAGCACTATCTCCTTCTCCACTGTGAGTAAATTTTTTCAATCCAGCACATTTTTTAAAATTAGTTAGCCATCCTTCGGATGCATTAAAGTAGATGATTTTAAGAAGCTTTGCAAATATTTGTACTTGAGATATCAAAACATATCCAGTTAATGTAACTTGAGCCTCAAGAGCATGATCAATCCAAAGCATTAATGAATTTTCTAATAAAGGAAACTTTGGACCTCTTAATCTTTTTGCTTTAGCCTCAGGACTATTTGAATCAATATTAATCCAATGTTCTTTATTTTTAAGAATATCAGAAATTGAATTATTACTGACATTAAATTTTTTTGCTAAAGTTTCAAGTTTCAAGTTTGGATTTTGTTTTTTTAATAAACAAATTTGTTTTTTTTGAATTCCCATTAAAGTATTGTGTTTAAGAAATTTGATAGTTCTATATCATTTAGTAACTTTAATTTTACCAATTCTTATTTTGAAAAATATTTAAATAAAAGAAAAAATTCCAATTTTTTTTTTAAAAAAATAATTGTATATACATCTATATATAAAAAATATAACAATATTATATTTTTTCTATTGTTGATAATCTTTTTTTATAATATATTAAATATAATAATAAAAACTTTGCTAAAAATCATTTATTAAAAAAAAAAGACAATATAATAGAAACAATTTGAATGACAATATGAAATATGGCGTTTTAGATCTGTTACAATAATAATATAGGTATATATCACATAAGTTAGATAATTTTGCATTTTAAAAATCACAGATTTTTCATAAAATTAAAAATTAATTAATTAAAAAACTAAAACCTCTATGAACAAAATAATATTATTTATTGCTGATAAAAATATATTTATGAATAATTATTAAATAATATATATTGAAAGTACTTTACTTTTTTTTTTTTTTTTTGTAGGTAAACATCATTTCTTTATTTGATTTGTATATAGCAGGGTATACATCGTGAAAGAAACAACATCTCTCATATGTTGATATAATGAGTTAAATGCTAGCTTGTCTACAGTAAATTGAAAGTACTTTACTATTGTATAATAAATTTGATTTATATTAGAATCTAAATCATCAACAGCAAGATGATTTTATAATACAATAATAAGAAAGTAAGGTTAATAATCAAGTATATAATATAGTTTCAATAACTATTAAATAATCTCAGATGTAAAAAGTAAGGCTTTACCTATAAAATGTTTTTGTAAATTTTTATTAACTTTGAATAATATACAGTATATAGTTAATAACTTCTATAGTTTTTATTATCTTTATTAAGAATTATAAATATGTAATTGAATGAAAGAAAAAATATTTGAAAAAGATATAAATAAGAGTTTTAGTATTCATAATACTCAAAAAGTTTTTACTTTTAACACCTTTTCTAATTTGCTAATATTCTATACCAGGTCCATAAACATTCTAATTACTACTGTATATGTGATCCAAAAATATATTACCAATAAAATCTGGTTTATTTTCTAACTTACTTATCATTAGTATATAAGTAAGCTATAGTTATCAGGCTATACAACCAAAGAAAAGACTATAGTTTTTTTGTTTTTAAGCTATTTAATAAATGCAGACATATATATTAATAGGAATTTTAATGTAAAACTGAAGATACAATATTTCTTTATTAAGAAATTAACTAAATCTTATTAGAAAATTCTGTAGGATATATATATACTTTTAAAAACTAAAATTTCTAATTGAATTGATTTAATAAATATAATTAAATAATAAAAGTTATATATATTATATGAATTTACACTTTCTTTATAATCAAAAATATATTATTTAGATATTTAAATTTATTTACATTTTGGTATTGTGAAAACAATAGGTGATATATCACAAATAGTTTTGTGTAGTTTGGGAGTTAGAGTTTAGCTTTTATCGTTGAGCTTGAGTTGAGAGTTTTGCAAATTTGTTTAATTCTAATTTTCAGAACTATAGTTTGTATTAAATTTTTTCAATTATTATTTAAATATATATTACTGTATTATTTAAAATTTATAAAATTTTTTATAACACAAAAAATCAAAATTAGTTTTATTTACATCTTTAAATAATTAATATAAATTTAATAACTAACTAAAATTTAACAAATATATATTGTAATAATCAATCCAATTTAAATCTATTTACAATAATAATGATAATATTTAATAAAAATATTTTAATAATTTTCTTAATTATGATATTTTTAATAATATTAATTTTATAATTATATAAAAATACTTGACTTTTTATATAGTTTATTTAGTTCTTAAATAATTATTATATGGTTTTATAGATTTAAACAATAATTTAAAATTTAATTAACTATTTTCAAATAAAAAACAGTTATTATTATAATTTTATAAATGCAAACAATATATTCAAAACTCAATTATTAAAATTATTATTATTATAATTCTTAATTTAATTATTTATAAACATATATAAGCTATTTATAAATTATTTTTGATATAGTATTACTTACTTATATAATATTATATTAAAAGTTTTATATATAATAAATTAATATTAACCTAAATAGATAATTAATATAATAACTATAAACTTTTATTTAATAAAAGTTTTATATTTTACATTTTTTGTAATAAAAAAAATAATTAAGTTAAATAATTGGTTTTGCTTATAATCAAATATAAAAATATTTAATTTTAAATACTGTATATTATAGAAAATAATTTTTCAACTAATTTAATAATTTGAATTGTTATATATAATTATTTATAATTTTTAATACAAGATAAAAATTATTTTTTTTTAATATAAAATATATTGTTGTCATTACCAATAAGTCTATTGCTAAAGCAGTATACTTTTTTTATAATAATAATTTAAATGCTTAAATTTTGATATTAAATAAGATAAAACTTTAACTTCAAGATAGATTATGATTTAATTAACTTTCGTATATTTGCTAATTCCTTTTTAATTGTCTTTTCCTAGGTATATCTCAATATTACAAATGTTACTCTTTTAATATATAATGATAATATTATATATATATATATATTAAAAGTGTTTACTTTACTATAGTGATATAGGCTTAATTTATACTTCAAGAAGTATATAATATAAATATATAAAGTTGTAATATTTATTGAATAAAGTAAGAGAAAATAAAAGGCATTCTAAAACTCTAAACTTAAAGCTTCAAGCTAAACTCTAATTCAAACTTTCTTTTTTTTTGCCTTTACTAAATTATTTAAAGCTATTTTATTTATATGCTTTGTTGATATTACATGCTATTATCAATTATTATATTATTTTATTATCAATGTTACTATTATTATATGACATATAATAATATTATGTTATTATTCTTATTGATCTTATAACATTATATAACTATTTTTTTATCTTTAATAATATAATATCTTTATTTTTTTGATATTAAGTAAGATATTTTTCATGATCTTTATTAATAAAGTAATTTATCAAAGTTATATATTTAATATTAAGATACTGAGATATATTGCTATATATGTTAGTCTACTATTATTTTAAATATATTTTTAATAAAAAACCTTGAGGCAAGAAAAAAAAAAGTAACTACTTAGTTTTGAAGGGCTAATGCTTCCCTAATAATTTATTATATCCTGAGGAAACATGGATAGGTTCTGTAAAAAAAGTTGAAGAATAATATTAGTTTATTAGTTTAGGTTGTATTGTTATTGGTTGTTGTAGTTTTGTTGTTTGTTGATATTGTGATTGTTGTTGATATGATTATTGTTGTTTTTGTTTATTTTTGTGTATGTTGTGTAGTGTGTATTTTTTGTTGTTTTTTTTTTGTATTTGGTGTTTTGTGGGATGTTGAGAAATTTTTTCATTGCAATTATTTCCTGATCTCTAGGGATCCATATTTGTGTGTATAATAGTTTGAGAGTTTCATTTTGTATTTCATTGATGTAGTACTTTTTATAGTTATTAATTATTTTCTTATTAACAATCATAATTCATTCATTCATTCATTCATTCAATTGCTTTAATCAATATGACCGGTTTCATTAATATAAAGCTTTTATTTAAAAGGGCAGAGAAAAATCATTTTGAAATAATAATTAAAGAATCGATGAAGGAGGTTACTGTAAATGTGATTTACGATATACAGTATTAATTTTCCTAATATCATATTTTACAATTATTGTATTGATTTGAAATGATACTTTAGAATTCGAATATTATAAAATATAATTTTTTTATCAATCCATTTACAAAACCAAGAGTAATCAAATAGCAATATGAAATATAAAAACAATAAGCTATTGTTATAGTGCGACGTAAAGGGTAAGCCAAAACTGCACAAGAACTGATCATATGACATGCAATTGTATCTTCTATATTTTCAGGGGTAAGATGAAATTATATATATAACTAGCGAAAGTGCACGAGAAATAAGAAACATCTCTCAAAAATTAGATAATAAATTATTATACTTACCTAACGTTCATTATCATTATCGTACCAAACTCGCCAAGTCTATCACGTCCCGATCGTAATGTAAATTGTAGGCCGTTTTCCCGCAACACCATATAAAAAAACGTTTTTTGTAGTTTTAGTATTTTAATAAAAATGACTGTTTTTATATAATTGTATATGACATTTGTAGTTAATTTAGGAAGTTTATAATAGAATTATTTTTTTTAAAAAAAAAACCGTTAATATAAGAAATGAAGAAATGTATATGCGCATTTATGTTGTTATTAACAAATCAACTTTAATGACAAAAAAATAATCATTCAATGAACGGGCTTTCTGCAATATTCACATTAAGCATGCAGTGCATTACGATTAACCTTATATGTATGTACATTGTACGCGGAGGTTAATCCGTAATTGTACACCATTGCACGACATTACCTTATCCGTACATGCAGCTTTTTTACTGTTGTGATAAAAATGGATGAGGCTTGGTGTGGCGCAGTAACTTGATGCACCAGTAACAGGCGAATCCCACTCAAATAGACTCTGGCGCATGATGTAATGTTAGATAGTTGGGACGCGTCGTACTAGTATAAATAGAAGTAGACTAGAGAAGCAACCTGTATCTGATCGTACAACACTATATCCTGAAAGAATTGTGATGAAAGCATCTCCTTAATCAATAAAATCATTGCCTTAAAGAGAAACCATCGCCTCCAAGTAGAATCCAGTAAGGCCGTAAGAGGAGCTGCGCGTGGATTAAATCTGATTTAAGAAGGAAGTATTATTAATAAAGGAACCACCGGCCAAATTGCCTCAAGCAAGACGACTCACCTAACCTTATTGTTACACGAGTGCTGGTCCTGGGTTAGCAACAGACTCGCCGGGAATAACAATAACACTGCACACATACCCATTTATCTTTTTTAAAAAAATATTTCACTAGTTAACGAACGGAATGTCCGAATTATCATATATTTTTTCACCTCAACGATTCAAAATTCTTATATTTAACAGATTTGTGCCAATTTTTTTTATTATTTACGTTATATGGTGAACGAATTGTAAGAAGACGATATACAAAACACAATAATCTACAGATCTCGATTATATAAATATATTTATGCCAGTAATTAAATTTAATTAAATTGTATTCTTAGACCTTAAATAAAATAGACATATATACAGTATATTTATTTAAGGCTTGAGAATATAAGATTTGGTACTTCGGTTTAATACCTTGTATACAGTATATTCTTATAGTTGCGTATATGCATGACATAATTCTTACTGTGTCTTTAGTCTGCGTCGGCGAGATCATCGACGGATATTAGCATTGACTGCTCGAGCGATGTTTATATAATTCTGCCTAGGAGCGTCCTTCCACAGCATCTCGGAAGCGTTGCTTAGGACATTGTAGTCCGTTTCATTTAAAATTATACCCGCTTCTCTACACACAATAGCAACAAAGGCATGATATCCCGTGAACCTTATATCATGACGAGACCATTTTCCCTTTCTTCTGATCGCAGCAATGTCCACGTTGTTGTTCGGAACCTGATTAAATAATATTGTGCGCAAAGCGTTGCTCTCCACGACGTTTTTTACACGTGAATGAAAGTCCATTTCAAAGCTTATTATAAACAGTACGTATGGGGGTTTTTTTCTGTTGGAATCGTAAGAGCTTAAAAGGCATACTGGAGAGAAAAATACCTAAGGAGAATATTTCTTATATAATTTTTTTTTTTTAAAAAAAAAAAAATAGTCACTTACCCCTTGATTTTTTACAACATTTCTCTAGCTTTTTCGTTCCCACCGATAACGCAAGCAATTAGGCCACGGCATGTAAATACGACACACCACTATCGATTCTCAGATTGGTGGCATTTAACTAAATAAAATACATGTACCTATCGAAAGATCGGAAGTAAATATACCAGTATCACTTTCGCAAAACGAATAGTGTAACAAATACTTGCCTCTAACTATAAAAATAAAATGTTATTGTATTTTTTATATACAGTATACACACACCGTATATGTAATATTATATGATAAATCATTACGCACTGTCCCAAAAAAAGAAGAAGAAGAAGAAGCACGACTGCATGGTTCTATTCCTGAGTTTTTATTAAATTTGTTCGAATTGATGTTCAGAATATGAAATTGAAAACCAACAAGTTATTGGTGTATAAAGTGCATCACGAAATATCCCGTCATAAGTAAGATCATTATTAATACGATGTATTATAAATGCATTAAATAAAGCCAAGTACCGATATTTTTGTCGTTTTACCTGATCTCTTAGGACAATTGGTTAATGATAAGAATTTTTTGTCCGATGATTCGTCCATACGATTGCACGCAACTTTGAGTGTCAGCATTTAAAAAAAAACAGATAAAATTTATCTCGCGTCAAAGTTTACATTGTACTCTATATACAATAACTGTCACACGGTAGAATAGTCTTGCCTATTGAAAGTTAGTGGATAAGTCGAAATATTTACTGCGATTTGTTTAATATGCACAATTTAATTTGATGCCGGTCAATGTTAATGTAATTCATATAAATGTTCTCACACGTCTATTTAAATCTCAGATAATCCCTTGAATAGATTATTTGGTGGCACCACAAAAAGTTTTATTAATTATGATTACATTATAGTATTTGATTTGATTTTGCAAAGTCACATAAATTTATATAAATTAATTGATTTTTCGCATGGCCATTTAATAATTCGTTCTCTAAAAATAAACAAAAGTCTATATATGTTAAATACTGGAAGGGTTCTTACTCCACATGCTTTCCTAATTAGTATGTAGAAATTGATTCGTTTCGTATTGCGAATTCTCCTCAAATATCTTGGTTCTTATGATTACATTGCCTATTAAGGAATTTCATTGTTATTACAATAAAATAATGAGACAATGAAACAATGAAAACAATACGAAGGGCTCTTTATTGGATATCCCGCAAATGTTGTGCCGTGCCACTGCATTATTTGATTTCCAAAGATGTTGGCCGCAAATCTTCTTGGGAAAGGTCCCTGCATAATTAATTTTTCTTTTAAAGACTCTATGGCGAAGCATTTTTGCTACCTTTTTAAAGCAGAAACACCACACAATTCTGTAGTCTCACCTAAAATTCATTGGTGAGTTTTTGGACACTTGAATGTAGCAATTTTAGACCCTGAATGAAGCAAAATTATATTTACAGTATACGTTTAAAAATAATGATCCATTTACGTTTTACCATATTTTGCATGATTACATACAATGTATCTAATGCGTACAACTTTATCATTTATTAAAGTTTTATGGCTCAAAAAGGTCTCAGTAAGTTAGGATTTTCCCTTGATGTTAAAAACAAAAATAAAAACAAAAGGAGCATGACAATGATATTAGAAAAAAGCAATATTGAAAAACAATAGTTTTTCACTCTTAGGAATTGTTTTTTGCCTATTTCTTTTCAAAATCCAATCATGGAATTGATTACTAAACATTATGCCGGTAACATGTGCACGGCGATCCGGGATAAGCAGTGATAAAGAACCACGGTTTGAAAATAAACGCTCTCGCAATAGTAAACTCCGAATACAATTTTGAGCTTCAAGAAATAATATGATAAAAATTTAGAACATCTTTAGAAGTCAAGAAAAATAATAAATCAAATTATAATAATTTAATATAGTATAATATAATATTAGGAACAAACCTTGATCCAAATTAGAATTCGCTTCTACTTGTGAAAACCATTTATAATCTTAAAAATGCAAGTTTTTAAGCTAAAGAATGAAAAAAAAAAGAAAAAAAAAAGAAAACATCAAAGTTTTATTTATATTTATTATCAAAAAAAAATAGTTTTAATGTTTCTTTAATATGTCTTTGTTGTGGGAACAATAGGGATAGGAACGCGATATTGTGGCGCGTCGCGTAATAACAGCAACATGGATGGTAGAATG